AATCTAAAAGGCATTTCCTCTAGTATCTAGCATATGTATAAGCAAGAGAATCAGCTAGAGCTGGCTATTGACGTTGGCCCAGTGGCCTAATGGATAAGGCATCAGCCCAAGAATTGTTGCAGAATTATATCCTTCACTGCCACATTTTGCTCACATGTGGCAACAGTTTAGCAAGGACCTCCAGAAAGATTTTCTTAGTAGCAGCTATTTGGCTCGTTGGGGGTAGATTCTTGCTTCGGTGCGAGAGGCCAGGTTCAAACTCGGATGAGCCCATTTTTTATGTTTCAGATTGGAAAATACTAACTGAACCCTGAACCTGTGGCTACTGGCTGTTTGGAAGGCTGCATAGACACCAGTCAACATGACTAAGCTTCCCGTCATCGTGTGACGTCAACGGTCAAGGACAATGTTGATGCTAGTCTGTTGAACAGAAAAGCCTCTTTATTGGATTTCACCCATTCAGGTTTAGCCTACCTTTGGTTACTGCCTTGGAATACCAACTCTGGCGATGAAAACTAGCAAACTCTCAACCACACCAAGCAAGCTTTGTAATATAGTTAGTCAAATGCTGGCGGGACAATCATGTGATGTGAGCAGTCAAGCTCTGAATAAGGAGCTTGTTGATGCTAATCTGTTTATCATAGGAAGCCCTTTGCCGAGAATGGATCGTCCAGGATGAATCAATTTCAGCCCTCGTCCAAAATAGGATAAATGGACACAAGTCTTGCACGTAGATCATGAGATAAGGTTCCAGAGCTTTCCAAAGTCTGCCAGGAAAGAGCTAGAGGGTAGCTGTGAATGTGCAAAATCAATCTAAAAGCATTTCCTCTAGTAGCTAGTATATGTGTAAGCAAGAAAATCAGCTAGAGCTGGCTATTCACTTTGGCCCAGTGGACTAATGGATAAGGCATCAGCTCTTGTCCAAAATAAGAAAAATGGACAAAGGTCTTGCACGTAGATCATGAGATAAGGTTCCAGAGCTTTCCAAAGTCTGCCAGGAAAGGGCTAGACGGTAGCTGTGAATGTGCAAAATCAATCTAAAAGCATTTCCTCTAGTATCTAGCATATGTATAAGCAAGAGAATCAGCTAGAGCTGGCGATTCACTTTTGCCCAGTGGCCTAATGGATAAGGCATCAGCCCTTGTCCAAATAATAAAAATGGACATAGGTCTTGCACGTAGATCATGAGATAAGGTTCCAGAGCTTTCCAAAGTCTGCCAGGAAAGGGCTAGAGGGTAGCTGTGAATGAGCAAAATCAATCTAAAAGCATTTCCTCTCGTTGCTAGCATATGTGTAAGCAAGAAAATCAGCTAGAGCTGGCTATTCACTTTGACCCAGTGGCCAAATGGATAAGGCATCAGCCCTCGTCCAAAATAAGAAAAATGGACACAGGTCTTGCATGTAGATCATGAGATAAGGTTCCAGAGCTTTCCAAAGTCTGCCAGGAAAGGGCTAGACTGTAGCTGTGAATGTGCAAAATCAATCTAAAAGCATTTTCTCTAGTAGCTAGTATATGTGTAAGCAAGAAAATCAGCTAGAGCTGGCTATTCACTTTTGCCCAGTGGCCTAATGGATAAGGCATCAGCCCTTGTCCAAAATAAGAACAATGGACACAAGTCTTGCACATAGATCATGAGATAAGGTTCCAGAGCTTTCCAAAGTCTGCCAGGAAAGGGCTAGACGGTAGCTGTGAATGTGCAAAATCAATCTAAAAGCATTTTCTCTAGTAGCTAGTATATGTGTAAGCAAGAAAATCAGCTAGAGCTGGCTATTCACTTTTGCCCAGTGGCCAAATGGATAAGGCATCAGCCCTCGTCCAAAATAAGAAAAATGGACACAGGTCTTGCATGTAGATCATGAGATAAGGTTCCAGAGCTTTCCAAAGTCTGCCAGGAAAGGGCTAGAGGGTAGCTGTGAATGTGCAAAATCAATCTAAAAGCATTTCCTCTAGTAGCTAGCATATGTATAAGCAAGAAAATCAGCTAGAGCTGGCTATTGACGTTGGCCCAGTGGCCCAATGGATAAGACATCAGCCCAAGAATTGTTGCAGAATTATATCCTTCACTGTCACATTTTGCTCACATGGGGCAACAGTTTGCAGAAGGGGACAAACGCAGCTATTTGGCTCGTTGGTCTAGGGTTATGATTCTCGGCCGGTGAGAGGTCCCGGTTCAAATCCGGATGAGCCCATTTTTATGTTTCAGATTGGAAAATACTAACTGAACCCTGAACCTGTGGCTACTCTGGCTTTTGGAAGGCTGCATAGACACCAGTCAACACGACTAAGCTTCCCGTTCCGCGTGTGACGTCAACGGTCAAGGACAATGTTGATGCTAGTCTGTTGAGCAGAAAAGCCTCTTTATTGATTTCACCCATTCAGGTTTAGCCTACCTTTGGTTACTGCCTTGGAATACCAACTCTGGCGATGAAAACTAGCAAACTCTCAACCACACCAAGCAAGCTTTGTAATATAGTTAGTCAATTGCTGGCGAGACAATCATGTGATGTGAGCAGTCAAGCTCTGAATAAGGAGCTTGTTGATGCTAATCTGTTTATCAGGAAGCCAACAGTCTTGCACGTAATGAGATAAGGTTCCAGGCCAAGTCTGCCAGGGGCAGGGGTGTGAATGTGCAAAATCAATCTAAAGCAATTCTTCTCGTTGCTAGCATATGTGTAAGCAAGAAAATCAGCTTGAGCTGGCTATTCACTTTGACCCAGTGGCCAAATGGATAAGGCATCAGCAACTTCGTCCAAAATAAGAAAAATGGACACAGGTCTTGCGTGCAGATCATGAGATAAGGTTCCAGAGCTTTCCAAAGTCTGCCAGGAAAGGGCTAGACGGTAGCTGTGAATGTGCAAAATCAATCTAAAAGCATTTCCTCTCGTTGCTAGCATATGTGTAAGCAAGAAAATCAGCTTGAGCTGGCTATTCACTTTGACCCATTGGCCAAATGGATAAGGCATCAGCCCAAAATTGTTGCATTATATGCTTTATTGTTGTCCAAAATAAGAAAAATGGACAAAGGTCTTGCACGTAGATCCTGAGATAAGGTTCCAGAGCTTTCCAAAGTCTGCCAGGAAAGGGTTAGACGGTAGCTGTGAATGTGCAAAATCAATCTAAAAGCATTTCCTCTCGTTGCTAGCATATGTATGCAAGCAAAATCAGCTAGAGCTGGCTATTGACGTTGGCCAAGTGGCCAAATGGATAAGGCATCAGCCAAAGAATTGTTGCAGAATTATATTCTTCACTGTAACATTTTGCTCACATGTGGCAACAGTTTAGCAAGGACCTGCAGAAGGGTTTTCTTAGAAGCAGCTATTCGCCTCGTTGGTCTAGGGGTATGAATCTTGCTTTGGCTGTGAGAAGTCCCGGTTCAAATCCTGGATGAGCCCATTTTTACATTTCAGATTGAAATACTAACTGAACCCTGAACCTGTGGCTACTGGTGTTTGGAAGGCTGCATAGACACCAATCAACACGACTAAGCTTCCCGTCATCGTGGGACGTCAAGGGTCAACGGTCAAGCCCTTGTCCAAAAAAATGGACACAGGTCTTGCACTAGAGAGATAAGGCAGAGCTCAATGTCTGCCAGGCTTTCTGTTGAGCAGAAAAGCCTCTTTAGATTTCACCCATTCAGGTTTAGCCTACCTTTGGTTACTGCCTGGAATACCAACTCTGGCGATGAAAACTAGCAAACTCTCAACCACACCAAGCAAGCTTTGTAATATAGTTAGTCAATTGCTGCGAGACAATCATGTGATGTGAGCAGCAAGCTCTGAATAAGGAGCTTGTTGATGCTAATCTGTTTATCATAGGAAGCCCCTTGCCGAGAATGCATCGTCCAGGAAGAATCAATTTCGCCCTCGTCCAAAATAGGAAAAATGGACACAGGTCTTGCACGTAGATCATGAGATAAGGTTCCAGAGCTTTCCAAAGTCTGCCAGGAACGGGCTCGAATGTGTGTACATAGCTGTGAATGTGCAAAATCAATCTAAAAGCATTTCCTCTAGTATCTAGCATATGTATAAGCAAGAGAATCAGCTAGAGCTGGCTATTGACGTTGGCCCAGTGGCCTAATGGATAAGGCATCAGCCCAAGAATTGTTGCAGAATTATATCCTTCACTGCCACATTTTGCTCACATGTGGCAACAGTTTAGCAAGGACCTGCAGAAGGGTATGCTTAGAAGCAGCTATTTGGCTCGTTGGTCTAGGGGTATGATTCTCGCTTCGGGTGCGAGAGGTCCCGGGTTCAAATCCCGGATGAGCCCATTTTTTATGTTTCAGATTGGAAGATACTAACTGAACCCTGAACCTGTGGCTACTCGGCTGTTTGGAAGGCTGCATAGACACCAGTCAACACGACTAAGCTTCCCGTCATCGTGTGACGTCAACGGTCAAGGACGATGTTGATGCTAGTCTGTTGAGCAGAAAAGCCTCTTTATTGGATTTCACCCATTCAGGTTTAGCCTACCTTTGGTTACTGCCTTGGAATACCAACTCTGGTGATGAAAACTAGCAAACTCTCAACCACACCAAGCAAGCTTTGTAATATAGTTAGTCAAATGCTGGCGAGACAATCATGTGATGTGAGCAGTCAAGCTCTGAATAAGGAGCTTGTTGATGCTAATCTGTTTATCATAGGAAGCCCGACACATCTTGCACGATCAGGATAATCCAAGCTCAAGTCTCCAGAAAGGGAGGGTAGCTGTGAATGCAAATCATCAAAGCATCTCTTCTAGCATATTAACAATCAGCTTGAATTCACTTTGACCAGTGGCCAAATGGATAAGGCACAGCCCTCGCCAAATAAGAAAAATGGACAAGGTCTTGCATGTAGATCATGAGATAAGGTTCCAGAGCTTTCCAAAGTCTGCCAGGAAAGGGCTAGAGGGTAGCTGTGAATGTGCAAAATCAATCTAAAAGCAATTCTTCTCGTTGCTAGCATATGTGTAAGCCAGAAAATCAGCTAGAGCTGGCTATTCACTTTGACCCAGTGGCCAAATGGATAAGGCATCAGCCCTCGTCCAAAATAAGAAAAATGGACACAGGTCTTGCATGTAGATCATGAGATAAGGTTCCAGAGCTTTCCAAAGTCTGCCAGGAAAGGGCTAGAGGGTAGCTGTGAATGTGCAAAATCAATCTAAAAGCATTTCCTCTCGTTGCTATCATATGTGTAAGCAAGAAAATCAGCTTGAGCTGGCTATTCACTTTGACCCATTGGCCAAATGGATAAGGCATCAGCCCAAGAATTGTTGCAGAATTATATGCTTTACTGTTGTCCAAAATAAGAAAAATGGACAAAGGTCTTGCACGTAGATCCTGAGATAAGGTTCCAGAGCTTTCCAAAGTCTGCCAGGAAAGGGTTAGACAGTAGCTGTGAATGTGCAAAATCAATCTAAAAGCATTTCCTCTCGTTGCTAGCATATGTATAAGCAAGAAAATCAGCTAGAGCTGGCTATTGACGTTGGCCAAGTGGCCAAATGGATAAGGCATCAGCCAAAGAATTGTTGCAGAATTATATTCTTCACTGTAACATTTTGCTCACATGTGGCAACAGTTTAGCAAGGACCTGCAGAAGGGTTTTCTTAGAAGCAGCTATTCGGCTCGTTGGTCTAGGGGTATGAATCTTGCTTTGGCTGTGAGAAGTCCCGGGTTCAAATCCTGGATGAGCCCATTTTTTACATTTCAGATTGGAAAATACTAACTGAACCCTGAACCTGTGGCTACTCGGGTGTTTGGAAGGCTGCATAGACACCAATCAACACGACTAAGCTTCCCGTCATCGTGTGACGTCAAGGGTCAACGGTCAAGCCCTTGTCCAAAATAAGAAAAATGGACACAGGTCTTGCACATAGATCATGAGATAAGGTTCCAGAGCTTTCCAAAGTCTGCCAGGCTTTTCTGTTGAGCAGAAAAGCCTCTTTATTGGATTTCACCCATTCAGGTTTAGCCTACCTTTGGTTACTGCCTTGGAATACCAACTCTGGCGATGAAAACTAGCAAACTCTCAACCACACCAAGCAAGCTTTGTAATATAGTTAGTCAATTGCTGGCGAGACAATCATGTGATGTGAGCAGTCAAGCTCTGAATAAGGAGCTTGTTGATGCTAATCTGTTTATCATAGGAAGCCCCTTTGCCGAGAATGCATCGTCCAGGATGAATCAATTTCAGCCCTCGTCCAAAATAGGAAAAATGGACACAGGTCTTGCACGTAGATCATGAGATAAGGTTCCAGAGCTTTCCAAAGTCTGCCAGGAACGGGCTACATGAATGTGTGTACATAGCTGTGAATGTGCAAAATCAATCTAAAAGCATTTCCTCTCGTTGCTAGCATATGTGTAAGCAAGAAAATCAGCTAGAGCTGGCTATTCACGTTGGCCCAGTGGCCTAATGGATAAAGCATCAGCCCACGTCCAAAATAAGAAAAATGGACACAGGTCTTGCACGTAGATCATGAGATAAGGTTCCAGAGCTTTCCAAAGTCTGCCAGGAAAGGGTTAGACAGTAGCTGTGAATGTGCAAAATCAATCTAAAAGCATTTCCTCTCGTTGCTTGCATATGTATAAGCAAGAAAATCAGCTAGAGCTGGCTATTGACGTTGGCCAAGTGGCCAAATGGATAAGGCATCAGCCAGAGAATTGTTGCAGAATTATATTCTTCACTGTAACATTTTTCTCACATGTGGCAACAGTTTAGCAAGGACCTGCAGAAGGGTTTTCTTTGAAGCAGCTATTTGGCTCGTTGGTCAAGGGGTATGATTCTCGCTTCGGGTGCGAGAGAGGTCCCGGGTCAAACCCGGATGAGCCCATTTTTATGTTTCAGATTGGAAAATACTAACTGAACCCTGAACCTGTGGCTACTCGGCTGTTTGGAAGGCTGCATAGACACCAGTCAACACGACTAAGCTTCTTCCGTCATCGGTAGTGACGTCAACGGTCAAGGACGATGTTGATGCTAGTCTGTTGAGCAGAAAAGCCTCTTTATTGGATTTCACCCATTCAGGTTTAGCCTACCTTTGGTTACTGCCTTGGAATACCAACTCTGGCGATGAAAACTAGCAAACTCTCAACCACACCAAGCAACTTTTGTAATATAGTTTAATCAAATGCGGCGAGACAATCATGTGATGTGAGCAGTCAAGCTCTGAATAAGGAGCTTGTTGATGCTAATCTGTTTATCATAGGAAGCCCCTTAAACCCCCCACACAGGTCTTGCACGTAGATCATGAGATAAGGTTCCAGAGCTTTCCAAAGTCTGCCCAGGAAAGGGCTAGAGGGTAGCTGTGAATGTGCAAAATCAATCTAAAAGCAATTTTTCCTCGTTGCTAGCATATGTGTAAGCAAGAAAATCAGCTTGAGCTGGCTATTCACTTTGACCCAGTGGCCAAATGGATAAGGCATCAGCCTTCGCTCCAAAATAAGAAAAATGGACACAGGTCTTGCATGTAGATCATGAGATAAGGTTCCAGAGCTTTCCAAAGTCTGCCAGGAAAGGGCTAGAGGGTAGCTGTGAATGTGCAAAATCAATCTAAAAGCATTTCCTCTCGTTGCTATCATATGTGTAAGCAAGAAAATCAGCTTGAGCTGGCTATTCACTTTGACCCATTGGCCAAATGGATAAGGCATCAGCCCAAATTATTATACTTTACTGTTGTCCAAAATAAGAAAAATGGACAAAGGTCTTGCACGTAGATCCTGAGATAAGGTTCCAGAGCTTTCCAAAGTCTGCCAGGAAAGGGTTAGACAGTAGCTGTGAATGTGCAAAATCAATCTAAAAGCATTTCCTCTCGTGGCTAGCATATGTATAAGCAAGAAAATCAGCTAGAGCTGGCTATTGACGTTGGCCAAGTGGCCAAATGGATAAGGCATCAGCCAAAGAATTGTTGCAGAATTATATTCTTCACTGTAACATTTTGCTCACATGTGGCAACAGTTTAGCAAGGACCTGCAGAAGGGTTTTCTTAGAAGCAGCTATTCGGCTCGTTGGTCTAGGGGTATGAATCTTGCTTTGGCTGTGAGAAGTCCCGGGTTCAAATCCTGGATGAGCCCATTTTTTACATTTCAGATTGGAAAATACTAACTGAACCCTGAACCTGTGGCTACTCGGGTGTTTGGAAGGCTGCATAGACACCAATCAACACGACTAAGCTTCCCGTCATCGTGAGACGTCACGGGTCAACGGTCAAGCCCTTGTCCAAAATAAGAAAAATGGACACAGGTCTTGCACATAGATCATGAGATAAGGTTCCAGAGCTTTCCAAAGTCTGCCAGGCTTTTCTGTTGAGCAGAAAAGCCTCTTTATTGGATTTCACCCATTCAGGTTTAGCCTACCTTTGGTTACTGCCTTGGAATACCAACTCTGGCGATGAAAACTAGCAAACTCTCAACCACACCAAGCAAGCTTTGTAATATAGTTAGTCAATTGCTGGCGAGACAATCATGTGATGTGAGCAGTCAAGCTCTGAATAAGGAGCTTGTTGATGCTAATCTGTTTATCATAGGAAGCCCCTTTGCCGAGAATGCATCGTCCAGGATGAATCAATTTCAGCCCTCGTCCAAAATAGGAAAAATGGACACAGGTCTTGCACGTAGATCATGAGATAAGGTTCCAGAGCTTTCCAAAGTCTGCCAGGAACGGGCTACATGAATGTGTGTACATAGCTGTGAATGTGCAAAATCAATCTAAAAGCATTTCCTCTCGTTGCTAGCATATGTGTAAGCAAGAAAATCAGCTAGAGCTGGCTATTCACGTTGGCCCAGTGGCCTAATGGATAAAGCATCAGCCCACGTCCAAAATAAGAAAAATGGACACAGGTCTTGCACGTAGATCATGAGATAAGGTTCCAGAGCTTTCCAAAGTCTGCCAGGAAAGGGTTAGACAGTAGCTGTGAATGTGCAAAATCAATCTAAAAGCATTTCCTCTCGTTGCTTGCATATGTATAAGCAAGAAAATCAGCTAGAGCTGGCTATTGACGTTGGCCAAGTGGCCAAATGGATAAGGCATCAGCCAGAGAATTGTTGCAGAATTATATTCTTCACTGTAACATTTTTCTCACATGTGGCAACAGTTTAGCAAGGACCTGCAGAAGGGTTTTCTTTGAAGCAGCTATTTGGCTCGTTGGTCTGGGGGTATGAATCTCGCTTTGGCTGTGAGAAGTCCCAGGTTCAAATCCTGGATGAGCCCATTTCTTACATTTCAGATTGGAAAATACTAACTGAACCCTGAACCTGTGGCTACTCGGCTGTTTGGAAGGCTGCATAGACACCAGTCAACACGACTAAGCTTCCCGTCATCGTGTGACGTCAACGGTCAAGGACGATGTTGATGCTAGTCTGTTGAGCAGAAAAGACTCTTTATTGGATTTCACCCATTCAGGTTTAGCCTACCTTTGGTTACTGCCTTGGAATACCAACTCTGGCGATGAAAACTAGCAAACTCTCAACCACACCAAGCAAGCTTTGTAATATAGTTAGTCAAATGCTGGCGAGACAATCATGTGATGTGAGCAGTCAAGCTCTGAATAAGGAGCTTGTTGATGCTAATCTGTTTATCATAGGAAGCCCCGACACAGGTCTTGCACGTAGATCATGAGATAAGGTTCCAGAGCTTTCCAAAGTCTGCCAGGAAAGGGCTAGAGGGTAGCTGTGAATGTGCAAAATCAATCTAAAAGCAATTCTTCTCGTTGCTAGCATATGTGTAAGCCAGAAAATCAGCTTGAGCTGGCTATTCACTTTGACCCAGTGGCCAAATGGATAAGGCATCAGCCCTCGTCCAAAATAAGAAAAATGGACACAGGTCTTGCATGTAGATCATGAGATAAGGTTCCAGAGCTTTCCAAAGTCTGCCAGGAAAGGGCTAGAGGGTAGCTGTGAATGTGCAAAATCAATCTAAAAGCATTTCCTCTCGTTGCTATCATATGTGTAAGCAAGAAAATCAGCTTGAGCTGGCTATTCACTTTGACCCATTGGCCAAATGGATAAGGCATCAGCCCAAGAATTGTTGCAGAATTATATGCTTTACTGTTGTCCAAAATAAGAAAAATGGACAAAGGTCTTGCACGTAGATCCTGAGATAAGGTTCCAGAGCTTTCCAAAGTCTGCCAGGAAAGGGTTAGACAGTAGCTGTGAATGTGCAAAATCAATCTAAAAGCATTTCCTCTCGTTGCTAGCATATGTATAAGCAAGAAAATCAGCTAGAGCTGGCTATTGACGTTGGCCAAGTGGCCAAATGGATAAGGCATCAGCCAAAGAATTGTTGCAGAATTATATTCTTCACTGTAACATTTTGCTCACATGTGGCAACAGTTTAGCAAGGACCTGCAGAAGGGTTTTCTTAGAAGCAGCTATTCGGCTCGTTGGTCTAGGGGTATGAATCTCTCGCTTTGGCTGTGAGAAGTCCGGGTTCAAATCCTGGATGAGCCCATTTTTACATTTCAGATTGGAAAATACTAACTGAACCCTGAACCTGTGGCTACTCGGTGTTTGGAAGGCTGCATAGACACCAATCAACACGACTAAGCTTCCGTCAACGGTCAAGCCCTTGTCCAAAATAAGAAAAATGGACACAGGTCTTGCACATAGATCATGAGATAAGGTTCCAGAGCTGTCCAAAGTCTGCCAGGCTTTTCTGTTGAGCAGAAAAGCCTCTTTATTGGATTTCACCCATTCAGGTTTAGCCTACCTTTGGTTACTGCCTTGGAATACCAACTCTGGCGATGAAAACTAGCAAACTCTCAACCACACCAAGCAAGCTTTGTAATATAGTTAGTCAATTGCTGGCGAGACAATCATGTGATGTGAGCAGTCAAGCTCTGAATAAGGAGCTTGTTGATGCTAATCTGTTTATCATAGGAAGCCCCTTTGCCGAGAATGCATCGTCCAGGATGAATCAATTTCAGCCCTCGTCCAAAATAGGAAAAATGGACACAGGTCTTGCACGTAGATCATGAGATAAGGTTCCAGAGCTTTCCAAAGTCTGCCAGGAACGGGCTACATGAATGTGTGTACATAGCTGTGAATGTGCAAAATCAATCTAAAAGCATTTCCTCTCGTTGCTAGCATATGTGTAAGCAAGAAAATCAGCTAGAGCTGGCTATTCACGTTGGCCCAGTGGCCTAATGGATAAGGCATCAGCCCACGGCCAAAATAAGAAAAATGGACACAGGTCTTGCACGTAGATCATGAGATAAGTTTCCAGAGCTTTCCAAAGTCTGCCAGGAAACGGCTAGAGGGTAGCTTTGAATGTGCAAAATCAATCTAAAAGCATTTCCTCTCGTTGCTAGCATATGTGTAAGCAAGAAAATCAGCTAGAGCTGGCTATTCACTTTTGCCCAGTGGACTAATGGATAAGGCATCAGCCCTTGTCCAAAATAAGAAAAATGGACACAGGTCTTGCACGTAGATCATGAGATAAGGTTCCAGAGCTTTCCAAAGTCTGCCAGGAAAGGGCTAGAGGGTAGCTGTGAATGTGCAAAATCAATCTAAAAGCATTTCCTCTAGTATCTAGCATATGTATAAGCAAGAGAATCAGCTAGAGCTGGCTATTGACGTTGGCCCAGTGGCCTAATGGATAAGGCATCAGCCCAAGAATTGTTGCAGAATTAGATCCTTCACTGTCACATTTTGCTCACATGTGGCAACAGTTTAGCAAGGACCTGCAGAAGGGTTTGCTTAGAAGCAGCTATTTGGCTCGTTGGTCTAGAGGTATGATTCTCGCTTCGGGTGCGAGAGGTCCCGGGTTCAAATCCCGGATGAGCCCATTTTTTATGTTTCAGATTGGAAAATACTAACTGAACCCTGAACCTGTGGCTACTCGGCTGTTTGGAAGGCTGCATAGACACCAGTCAACACGACTAAGCTTCCCGTCATCGTGTGACGTCAACGGTCAAGGACGATGTTGATGCTAGTCTGTTGAGCAGAAAAGCCTCTTTATTGGATTTCACCCATTCAGGTTTAGCCTACCTTTGGTTACTGCCTTGGAATACCAACTCTGGCGATGAAAACTAGCAAACTCTCAACCACACCAAGCAAGCTTTGTAATATAGTTAGTCAAATGCTGGCGAGACAATCATGTGATGTGAGCAGTCAAGCTCTGAATAAGGAGCTTGTTGATGCTAATCTGTTTATCATAGGAAGCCCCTTTGCCGAGAATGCACCGTCCAGGATGAATCACTTTCAGCCCTCGTCCAAAATAGGAAAAATGGACACAGGTCTTGCACGTAGATCATGAGATAAGGTTCCAGAGCTTTCCAAAGTCTGCCAGGAACGGGCTACACGGTAGCTGTGAATGTGCAAAATCAATCTAAAAGCATTTCCTCTCGTTGCTAGCATATGTGTAAGCAAGAAAATCAGCTAGAGCTGGCTATTCACGTTGGCCCAGTGGCCTAATGGATAAGGCATCAGCCCTTGTCCAAAATAAGAAAAATGGACACAGGTCTTGCACGTAGATCATGAGATAAGGTTCCAGAGCTTTCCAAAGTCTGCCAGGAAAGGGCTAGAGGGTAGCTGTGAATGTGCAAAATCAATCTAAAAGCATTTCCTCTCGTTGCTAGCATATGTGTAAGCAAGAAAATCAGCTAGAGCTGGCTATTCACTTTTGCCCAGTGGCCTAATGGATAAGGCATCAGCCCTTGTCCAAAATAAGAAAAATGGACACAGGTCTTGCACATAGATCATGAGATAAGGTTCCAGAGCTTTCCAAGGTCTGCCAGGAAAGGGCTAGACGGTAGCTGTGAATGTGCAAAATCAATCTAAAAGCATTTCCTCTCGTTGCTAGTATATGTGTAAGCAAGAAAATCAGCTAGAGCTGGCTATTCACTTTGACCCAGTGGCCTAATGGATAAGGCATCAGCCCTTGTCCAAAATAAGAAAAATGGACACAGGTCTTGCACATAGATCATGAGTTAAGGTTCCAGAGCTTTCCAAAGTCTGCCAGGAAAGGGCTAGAGGGTAGCTGTGAATGTGCAAAATCAATCTAAAAGCATTTCCTCTAGTGGCTAGTATATGTGTAAGCAAGAAAATCAGCTAGAGCTGGCTATTCACTTTGGCCCAGTGGCCTAATGGATAAGGCATCAGCCCAAGAATTGTTGCAGAATTATATCCTTCACTGTAACATTTTGCTCACATGTGCCAACAGTTTAGCAAGGACCTGTAAAAAGATTTCTTAGTAGCAGCTATTTGGCTCGTTGGTCTAGGGGTATGATTCTCGCTTTGGGTGTGAGAGGTCCCGGGTTCAAATCCCGGATGAGCCCACCTTTTACGTTTCAGATTGGAAAATACTAATTGAACCCTGAGCCTGTGGCTACTGGGGTGTTTGGAAGTCTGCATAGACACCAATCAACACGACTAAGCTTCCCATCATCGTGTGACGTCAACGGTCAAGGACAATGTTGATGCTAGTCTGTTGAGCAGAAAAGACTCTTTATTGGATTTCACCCATTCAGGTTTAGCCTACCTTTGGTTACTGCCTTGGAATACCAACTCTGGCGATGAAAACTAGCAAACTCTCAACCACACCAAGCAAGCTTTGTAACATAGTTAGTCAATTGCTGGCGAGACAATCATGTGATGTGAGCAGTCAAGCTCTGAATAAGGAGCTTGTTGATGCTAATCTGTTTATCATAGGAAGCCCCTTTGCCGAGAATGGATCGTCAGGATGAATCAATTTCAGCCCTTGTCCAAAAATAGGAAAAAGGACACAGGTCTTGCACGGATATAAAGATAAGGTTGACAGGAAAGTGAGCTAGACGGTAGCTGTGAATGTGCAAAATCAATCTAAAAGCATTTCCTCTCGTTGCTAGCATATGTGTAAGCAAGAAAATCAGCAAGAGCTGGCTATTCACTTTGACCCAGTGGCCAAATGGATAAGGCATCAGCCCTCGTCCAAAATAAGAAAAATGGACACAGGTCTTGCATGTAGATCATGAGATAAGGTTCCAGAGCTTTCCAAAGTCTGCCAGGAAAGGGCTAGAGGGTAGCTGTGAATGTGCAAATTCAATCTAAAAGCATTTCCTCGTTGCTAGCATATGTGTAAGCAAGAAAATCAACTAGAGCTGGCTATTGACGTTGGCCTAGTGGATTAATGGATAAGGCATCAGCCCTTGTCCAAAATAAGAATAAATGGACACAGGTCTTGCACGTAGATCATGAGATAAGGTTCCAGAGCTTTCCAAAGTCTGCCAGGAAAGGGCTAGAGTGTACCTGTGAACACAGTTCTTGCACGTAGATCATGAGATAAGGTTCCAGAGCTTTCAAAGTCTGCCAGGAAAGGGCTAGACGGTAGCTGTGAATGTGCAAAATGAATCTAAAAGCATTTCCTCTCGTTGCTAGCATATGTGTAAGCAAGAAAATCAGCTAGAGCTGGCTATTCACTTTGACCCAGTGGCCAAATGGATAAGGCATCAGCTAGAGCTGGCTATTCACTTTTGCCCAGTGGCCTAATAGATAAGGCATCAGCCCTTGTCCAAAATAAGAAAAATGGACACAGGTCTTGCACATAGATCATGAGATAAGGTTCCAGAGCTTTCCAAAGTCTGCCTTGGAATACCAACTCTGGCGATGAAAACTAGCAAACTCTCAACCACACCAAGCAAGCTTTGTAACATAGTTAGTGGACTAATGGATAAGGCATCAGCCCTTGTCCAAAATAAGAAAAATGGACACAGGTCTTGCACGTAGGTCATGAGATAAGGTTCCAGAGCTTTCCAAAGTCTGCCAGGAAAGGGCTAGAGGGTAGCTGTGAATGTGCAAAATCAATCTAAAAGCATTTCCTCTCGTTGCTAGCATATGTGTAAGCAAGATGTAGGCACCTCCCAAAGATGTAGTTGAATAAATGGTGTGCTTGCTGCATTTTTGGGTGGATTCAGTTGAGACTACATTTCCCATGGTCCTTTGTTTTTGAATACGTTGCAATTTGTTTCCATTGGAGTAGTTCAAGCCAATGGGTTGCCTGTTTAATTAAACTCCTAGCCAATCAGAGGTCACCTTTGTTGGGGAGGGGAAAAGAGGAAAAAAAGGAAAGGAGGGGGAGAGGTAGCGAAGAGGAGAGGGAGAAACACGCGGGAGGAGAGCGGGGGAAAAGAAAAAAAGAGAACCGAGTTTTAACGCAGAGGTGATGTTTGTAGACTAAACTTCTATTAAAGTAGTGGCACAAATATCATTTTATTCAGCGAAAGGAGAGCAACTATCCGCTCGGTAAATTTGTGAACTGTAAGGTGAAGTGCTAGCTTAGCTGCGTTTGTTTGTTTTGCACTAGCTTGGGAAAAACAAAGCTAAGTACAATCTGTAACTCGTGGACGTTAAACTAATGTCTTCGTGAGGGACGGACATCTGTAACCGCCAGTCGCAGTGTCGCTGTGAAACTGAAGGACGAGTACTGTGGAGAACTGTGCTGAACTGTGCTAGGTGGCATGGTAGCTACTACGCTGTTTAAGGAGGAACTCCATCGCTGAACCTGCGTCGCTGAATTAACCTCCTGGAACCTTGCGTGCCGTGGATTCATTCTCTCAGCTCGTGACCACAGTGGCTAATTCTTCTGTTCCAGAGGCGTGAGTAACAGAGAGGTTTTGGTAGCGTTCATTAAAGGAACCAAGGAGGATTTTTGTTTGTATGTGCACCAACTCACGGGCCCCAACAGGAAAAAAAACAAGTGCTTGGTGAAGGTTCTGAACAGTTAAAAAAGGGTTTAAGTGGTAAAATCCAAACTGTACTGTTCCTGGTGTTTAATAATTAGAAAGGAGTGTGTGAGTTACTGGTCTAAATTTTGTTTCTAATATATGTATACAGTTTGAAGTTTTTTTGTTTAGCATAATAAATGTGGTTATTTTTGTTATACATACTACCTGGCTTTACTGGACTTGTCTTTTTTTATTTAATTAGGTTCATATATATTTGGTCTAGTTATATTCAATATTTGTTTCTGGGGAATAACAATATCGCTCATAGTGTGTGAGTGGGGAAATTCTTCAGTGGAGGCACCGCGCTATTAGGGATTAAATCATTTCCATACAGTTCTGCCTGTATAACATCATCGACTGGTAAATAGAGGTTAGCCAAATTCACCATCAACTGCTAAATACTCAGGATCCTGTTCATTAAAACCATTTACTGTAGTAACCTTCTCTAATATTACACTTCCGGCGCCAGGAAGGGGTGTTGTGGATAAAATCAACCTTTCTAGTCTAAGTCAAGAAACTTCTAAGACAGAGAGTTTAGTAGATGTCAAAAGTAATAAACTTTATTGGAAACCAACAAAGGTGACTGTCTGCAGAGAGTTCAATTTGTACATACATGAACATGTCTTTATATACTTCCCAAAAACAGTAAACATAATTCCTAGGTGTGGCATTCACCGTTTCTTTTTAGAACCGACCAATCTCCCATGCCTTAACTAATTATTCATATCTATATGATACCCCACCATTGTGGCGCATGCGCAGCCAGTTGTATGTTCTTCAAAGTTCTTACCAGAACTGGGTTCACCATCATGTCACATAATTCATCCCATAGCCTCATATTGGTACCCTTCCCTTGAACTCTTATCTCTTTTTATGTTACTGATTTGCAAGCACAAGGGGGGGCCCATTTCAGAAACCCAACTCTGGAATGTGTCTAATTTACTGCCACAAAGTGAAGTTGCGTTTAGACAAACACAAGCTCTTAATTTACTTCTACAGAGTGAATCTGCTTTAGACATCCCCATAGCACCTAATTTACACACCTAGAAGTGAAGCTGAGTTTAGACAAACAAAGGCTCTTACTTTACCCACCTAGGAGAACACACATGTTGGAAGTGTCCTATAGCTTTAGATTTGCCTCAGAAAGCAATTAGGCCTACTGTTCAGTAAGGCACAGAATTCTTCTACTCAACCCACACTCAGAATAAAACTTGACCAACCATCGTTCAATGAGTTTAGATTATGCTTCCAACTATGGATTATACAGATATTTGAATATGCTTTAAGTAATACTTCTAAATGTAGGTTACATATTGAATACACTTCATTAACATATCCAGAAGTGACTTATACATATTGATTACACGTCATAGCTATTTTCTTAGACATATTTTTGATATATTTTCTATAGGGGTTACAAAGAAAATCAGCTAGAGCTGGCTATTCACTTTTGCCCAGTGGCCTAATGGATAAGGCATCAGCCCTTGTCCAAAATAAGAAAAATGGACACAGGTCTTGCACGTAGATCATGAGATAAGGTTCCAGAGCTTTCCAAAGTCTGCCAGGAAAGGGCTAGACGGTAGCTGTGAATGTGCAAAATCAATCTAAAAGCATTTCCTCTAGTAGCTAGTATATGTGTAAGCAAGAAAATCAGCTAGAGCTGGCTATTCACTTTGGCCTCGTGGCCTAATGGATAAGGCATCAGCTCTTGTCCAAAATAAGAAAAATGGACACAGGTCTTGCACATACATCATGATAAAAGGTTCCAGAGCTTTCCAAAGTCTGCCAGGAAAGGGCTAGAGGGTAGCTGTGAATGTGCAAAATGAATCTAAAAGCATTTCCTCTCGTTGCTAGCATATGTGTAAGCAAGAAAATCAGCTAGAGCTGGCTATTCACTTTGACCCAGTGGCCAAATGGATAAGGCATCAGCCCTTGTCCAAAATAAGAAAAATGAACACAGGTCTTGCACATAGATCATGAGATAAGGTTCCAGAGCTTTCCAAAGTCTGCCAGGAAAGGGCTAGAGGGTAGCTGTGAATGTGCAAAATCAATCTAAAAGCATTTCCTCTCGTTGCTAGCATATGTGTAAGCAAGAAAATCAGCTAGAGCTGGCTATTCACTTTGACCCAGTGGCCAAATGGATAAGGCATCAGCCCAAGAATTGTTGCAGAATTATATCCTTCACTGTAACATTTTGCTCACATGTGCCAACAGTTTAGCAAGGACCTGCAGAAAGATTTTCTTAGTAGCAGCTATTTGGCTCGTTGGTCTAGGGGTATGATTCTCGCTTTTGGGTGTGGGTCCGGTTCGGTTCCGGATTCCGATGAGCCCATCTTTTACGTTTCAGATTGGAAAATACTAATTGAACCCTGAGCCTGTGGCTACTGGGGTGTTTGGAAGGCTGCATAGACACCAGTCAACACGACTAAGCTTCCTCGTCATCCGTGGACGTCAACGGTCAAGGACAATGTTGATGCTAGTCTGTTGAGCAGAAAAGACTCTTTATTGGATTTCACCCATTCAGGTTTAGCCTACCTTTGGTTACTGCCTTGGAATACCAACTCTGGCGATGAAAACTAGCAAACTCTCAACCACACCAAGCAAGCTTTGTAACATAGTTAGTCAATTGCTGGCGAGACAATCATGTGATGTGAGCAGTCAAGCTCTGAATAAGGAGCTTGTTGATGCTAATCTGTTTATCATAGGAAGCCCCTTTGCCGAGAATGCATCGTCCAGGATGAATCAATTTCAGCCCTTGTCCAAAATAGGAAAAATGGACACAGGTCTTGCACGTAGATCATGAGATAAGGTTCCAGAGCTTTCCAAAGTCTGCCAGGAAAGGGCTAGAGGGTAGCTGTGAATGTGCAAAATCAATCTAAAAGCATTTCCTCTCGTTGCTAGCATATGTGTAAGCAAGAAAATCAGCTAGAGCTGGCTATTCACTTTTGCCCAGTGGCCTAATGGATAAGGCATCAGCCCTTGTCCAAAATAAGAAAAATGGACACAGGTCTTGCACATAGATCATGAGATAAGGTTCCAGAGCTTTCCAAGGTCTGCCAGGAAAGGGCTAGACGGTAGCTGTGAATGTGCAAAATCAATCTAAAAGCATTTCCTCTCGTTGCTAGCATATGTGTAAGCAAGAAAATCAGCTAGAGCTGGCTATTCACTTTTGCCCAGTGGCCTAATGGATAAGGCATCAGCCCTTGTCCAAAATAAGAAAAATGGACACAGGTCTTGCACGTAGATCATGAGATAAGGTTCCAGAGCTTTCCAAAGTCTGCCAGGAAAGGGCTAGAGGGTAGCTGTGAATGTGCAAAATCAATCTAAAAGCATTTCCTCTCGTTGCTAGCATATGTGTAAGCAAGAAAATCAGCTAGAGCTGGCTATTCACTTTGACCCAGTGGCCGAATGGATAAGGCATCAGCCCTCGTCCAAAATAAGAAAAATGGACACAGGTCTTGCACGTAGATCATGAGATAAGGTTCCAGAGCTTTCCAAAGTCTGCCAGGAAAGGGCTAGACGGTAGCTGTGAATGTGCAAAATCAATCTAAAAGCATTTCCTCTCGTTGCTAGCATATGTGTAAGCAAGAAAATCTGCTTATACATAGACACCAGTCAACACGACTAAGCTTCCCGTCATCGTGTGACGTCAAGGGTCAACGGTCAAGCCCTTGTCCAAAATAAGAAAAATGGACACAGTTCTTGCACGTAGATCATGAGATAAGGTTCCAGAGCTTTCCAAAGTCTGCCAGGAAAGGGCTAGAGGGTAGCTGTGAATGTGCAAAATCAATCTAAAAGCATTTCCTCTCGTTGTAGCCATATGTGTAAGCAAGAAAATCTGCTTATACATAGACACCAGTCAACACGACTAAGCTTCCCGTCATCGTGTGACGTCAAGGGTCAACGGTCAAGCCCTTGTCCAAAATAAGAAAAATGGACACAGTTCTTGCACGTAGATCATGAGATAAGGTTCCAGAGCTTTCCAAAGTCTGCCAGGAAAGGGCTAGAGGGTAGCTGTGAATGTGCAAAATCAATCTAAAAGCATTTCCTCTCGTTGCTAGCATATGTGTAAGCAAGAAAATCAGCTAGAGCTGGCTATTCACTTTGCCGCTGGCCCCTAATGGATAAGGCATCAGCCCTTGTCCAAAATAAGAAAAATGGACACAGGTCTTGCATGTAGATCATGAGATAAGGTTCCAGAGCTTTCCAAAGTCTGCCAGGAAAGGGCTAGACGGTAGCTGTGAATGTGCAAAATCAATCTAAAAGCATTTCCTCTAGTAGCGAGTATATGTGTAAGCAAGAAAATCAGCTAGAGCTGGCTATTCACTTTTGCCCAGTGGCCTAATGGATAAGGCATCAGCCCTTGTCCAAAATAAGAAAAATGGACACAGGTCTTGCACATAGATCATGAGATAAGGTTCCAGAGCTTTCCAAAGTCTGCCAGGAAAGGGCTAGAGGGTAGCTGTGAATGTGCAAAATCAATCTAAAAGCATTTCCTCTAGTAGCTAGTATATGTGTAATCAAGAAAATCTGCTTATACATAGACACCAGTCAACACGACTAAGCTTCCCGTCATCGTGTGACGTCAAGGGTCAACGGTCAAGCCCTTGTCCAAAATAAGAAAAATGGACACAGTTCTTGCACGTAGATCATAAGATAAGGTTCCAGAGCTTTCCAAAGTCTGCCAGGAAAGGGCTAGAGGGTAGCTGTGAATGTGCAAAATCAATCTAAAAGCATTTCCTCTCGTTGCTAGCATATGTGTAAGCAAGAAAATCAGCTAGAGCTGGCTATTCACTTTTGCCCAGTGGCCTGACGGATAGGGCATCAGCCCTTGTCAAAAATAAGAAAAATGGACACAGGTCTTGCACATAGATCATGAGATAAGGTTCCAGAGCTTTCCAAGGTCTGCCAGGAAAGGGGCTGTGAATATATGCAAAGACGGTAGCTGTGAATATATGCAAAATCAATCTAAAAGCATTTCCTCTCGTTGCTAGCCTATGTATAAGCAAGAAAATCAGCTAGAGCTGGCTATTCACGGTTTTCACAATTTCAGCCCTTGTCCAAAATAGGAAAAATGGACACAGGTCTTGCACGTAGATCATGAGATAAGGTTCCAGAGCTTTCCAAAGTCTGCCAGGAAAGGGCTAGAGGGTAGCTGTGAATGTGCAAAATCAATCTAAAAGCATTTCCTCTCGTTGCTAGCATATGTGTAAGCAAGAAAATCAGCTAGAGCTGGCTATTCACTTTGACCCAGTGGCCTAATGGATAAGGCATCAGCCCTTGTCCAAAATAAGAAAAATGGACACAGGTCTTGCATGTAAATCATGAGATAAGGTTCCAGAGCTTTCCAAAGTCTGCCAGGAAAGGGCTAGACGGTAGCTGTGAATGTGCAAAATCAATCTAAAAGCATTTCCTCTCGTTGCTAGCATATGTGTAATCAAGAAAATCAGCTAGAGCTGGCTATTCACTTTGGCCCAGTGGCCTAATGGATAAGGCATCAGCTCTTGTCCAAAATAAGAAAAATGGACACAGGTCTTGCACGTAGATCATGAGATAAGTTTCCAGAGCTTTCCAAGGTCTGCCAGGAAAGGGCTAGACGGTAGCTGTGAATATATGCAAAATCAATCTAAAAGCATTTCCCTCGTTGCTAGCCTATGTATAAGCAAGAAAATCAGCTAGAGCTGGCTATTCACTTTGACCCAGTGGCCAAATGGATAAGGCATCAGCCCAAGAATTGTTGCAGAATTATATCCTTCACTGTAACATTTTGCTCACATGTGCCAACAGGTCTTGCACATAGTTCATGAGATAATGTTCCAGAGCTTTCCAAGGTCTGCCAGGAAAGGGTTAGACGGTAGCTGTGAATGTGCAAAATCAATCTAAAAGCATTTCCTCTCGTTGCTAGCATATGTGTAAGCAAGAAAATCAGCTAGAGCTGGCTATTCACTTTGCCCCTGTGGCCAAATGGATAAGGCATCAGCCCTCGTCCAAAATAAGAAAAATGGACACAGGTCTTGCATGTAGATCATGAGATAAGGTTCCAGAGTTTTCCAAAGTCTGCCAGGAAAGGGCTAGACGGTAGCTGTGAATGTGCAAAATCAATCTAAAAGCATTTCCTCTAGTAGCAAGTATATGTGTAAGCAAGAAAATCAGCTAGAGCTATCTATTCGCTTTTGCCCAGTGGCCTAACGGATAAGGCATCAGACCTTGTCCAAAATAAGAAAAATGGACACAGGTCTTGCACGTAGATCATGAGATAAGGTTCCAGAGCTTTCCAAAGTCTGCCAGGAAAGGGCTAGAGGGTGCTGTGAATGTGCAAAATGAATCTAAAAGCAATTCCTCTCATTGTTAGCATATGTGTAAGCAAGAAAATCAGCTAGAGCTTGCTATTCACTTTGACCCAGTGGCCAAATGGATAAGGCATCAGCCCAAGAATTGTTGCAGAATTATATGCTTTACTGTTACATTTTGATCACATGTGGCAACAGTTTAGCAAGGACCTGCAGAAGGATTTGCCAATAGCAGTAATTGGCTCGTTGGTCTAGGGGTATGATTCCGCTTAGGGCGTGAGGTCCCGGTGCAAATCCGGATGAGCCCCTTTTTACGTTTCAGATTGGAAAATACTAACTGAACCCTGAACCTGTGGCTACTCGGGTGTTTGGAAGGCTGCATAGACACCAGTCAACACAACTAAGCTTCCCGTCATCGTGTGACGACAACGGTCAAGCCCTTGTCCAAAATAAGAAAAATGGACACAGTTCTTGCACGTAGATCATGAGATAAGGTTCCAGAGCTTTCCAAAGTCTGCCAGGAAAGGGCTAGAGGGTAGCTGTGAATGTGCAAAATCAATCTAAAAGCATTTCCTCTCGTTGCTAGCATATGTATAAGCTAGAAAATCTGCTTATACATAGACACCAGTCAACACGACTAAGCTTCCCGTCATGGCGTGTGACGTCAAAGTACGGTCAAGCCCTTGTCCAAAATAAGAAAAATGGACACAGTTCTTGCACGTAGATCATGAGATAAGGTTCCAGAGCTTTCCAAAGTCTGCCAGGAAAGGGCCAGATGGTAGCTGTGAATGTGCAAAATCAATCTAAAAGCATTTCCTCTAGTAGCTAGGTTTATATGTGTAAGCGAAAATCAGCTATATCTGGCTATTCACTTTTGCCCAGTGGCCTAATGGATAAGGCATCAGCCCTTGTCCAAAATAAGAAAAATGGACACAGGTCTTCGCGTAGATCATGAGATAAGGTTCCAGAGCTTTCCAAGCTCTTGCCAGGAAAGGGCAGAACGGTAGCTGTGAATGTGCAAAATCAATCTAAAAGCATTTCCTCTAGTTGCTAGTATATGTGTAAGCAAGAAAATCAGCTAGAGCTGGCTATTCACTTTGAGCCAGTGGCCTAATGGATAAGGCATCAGCCCTTGTCCAAAATAAGAAAAATGGACACAGGACTTGCACGTAGATCATGAGATAAGGTTCCAGAGCTTTCCAAAGTCTGCCAGGAAAGGGCTAGAGGGTAGCTGTGAATGTGCAAAATGAATCTAAAAGCATTTCCGGCGGGGAAAAATCAGCTAGAGCTGGCTATTCACTTTGCCCCAGTGGCCTAATGGATAAGGCATCAGCCCAAGAATTGTTGCAGATTTATATCCTTCACTGTAACATTTTGCTCACATGTGCCAACAGTTTAGCAAGGACCTGTAGAAAGATTTTCTTGTTAGCAGCTATTTGGCTCGTTGGTCTAAGGGAATGATTCTAGCTTTGGGTGTGAGAGGTCCCGGGTTCAAATCCCGGATGAGCCCATCTTTTATGTTTCAGATTGGAAAATACTAATTGAACCCTGAGCCTGTGGCTACTGGGGTGTTTGGAAGGCTGCATAGACACCAGTCAACACGACTAAGCTTCCCGTCATCGTGTGACGTCAACGGTCAAGGACAATGTTGATGCTAGTCTGTTGAGCAGAAAAGACTTCTTTGGGATTTCACCCATTCAGGTTTAGCCTACCTTTGGTTACTGCCTTGGAATACCAACTCTGGCGATGAAAACTAGCAAACTCTCAACCACACCAAGCAAGCTTTGTAACATAGTTAGTCAATTGCTGGCGAGACAATCATGTGATGTGAGCAGTCAAGCTCTGAATAATGAGCTTGTTGATGCTAATCTGTTTATCTAGCAAGGCCCCTTTGCCGAGAATGCATCGTCAGGATGAATCAATTTCAGCCCTTGTCCAAAATAGGAAAAATGGACACAGGTCTTGCACGTAGATCATGAGATAAGGTTCCAGAGCTTTCCAAAGTCTGCCAGGAAAGGGCTAGAGGGTAGCTGTGAATGTGCAAAATCAATCTAAAAGCATTTCCTCTAGTTGCTAGTATGTGTGTAAGCAAGAAAATCAGCTAGAGCTGGCTATTCACTTTGACCCAGTGGCCTAATGGATAAGGCATCAGCCCTTGTCCAAAATAAGAAAAAATGGACACAGGTCTTGCACGTAGATCATGAGATAAGGTTCCAGAGCTTTCACAAAGTCTGCCAGGAAAGGGCTAGAGGGTAGCTGTGAATGTGCAAAATCAATCTAAAAGCATTTCCTCTAGTATCTAGCATATGTATAAGCAAGAGAATCAGCTAGAGCTGGCTATTGACGTTGGCCCAGTGGCCTAATGGATAAGGCATCAGCCCAAGAATTGTTGCAGAATTATATCCTTCACTGCCACATTTTGCTCACATGTGGCAACAGTTTAGCAAGGACCTGCAGAAGGGTATGCTTAGAAGCAGCTATTTGGCTCAAATCCCGGATGAGCCCAATTTTTATGTTTCAGATTGGAAGATACTAACTGAACCCTGAACCTGTGGCTACTCGGCTGTTTGGAAGGCTGCATAGACACCAGTCAACACGACTAAGCTTCCCGTCATCGTGTGACGTCAACGGTCAAGGACAATGTTGATGCTAGTCTGTTGAGCAGAAAAGACTCTTTATTGGATTTCACCCATTCAGGTTTAGCCTACCTTTGGTTACTGCCTTGGAATACCAACTCTGGCGATGAAAACTAGCAAACTCTCAAACACACCAAGCAAGCTTTGTAACATAGTTAGTCAATTGCTGGCGAGACAATCATGTGATGTGAGCAGTCAAGCTCTGAATAAGGAGCTTGTTGATGCTAATCTGTTTATCATAGGAAGCCCCTTTGCCGAGAATGCATGCGTCCAGGATGAATCAATTTCAGCCCTTGTCCAAAATAGAAAACTGGACACAGGTCGTTGCGCGATCATGAGATAAGGTTCCAGAGCTTTCCAAAGTCTGCCAGGAAAGGGCTAGAGGGTAGCTGTGAATGTGCAAAATCAATCTAAAAGCATTTCCTCTCGTTGCTAGCATATGTATAAGCAAGAAAATCAACTAGAGCTGGCTATTCACTTTGACCCAGTGGCCGAATGGATAAGGCATCAGCCCTCGTCCAAAATAAGAAAAAATGGACACAGGTCTTGCACATAGATCATGAGATAAGGTTCCAGAGCTTTCCAAAGTCTGCCAGGAAAGGGCTAGACGGTAGCTGTGAATGTGCAAAATCAATCTAAAAGCATTTCCTCTACGTTGCTAGCATATATGTGTAAGCAAGAAAATCAGCTTATACATAGACACCAGTCAACAGGACTAAGCTTCCCGTCATCGGTGACGTCAAGGGTAACGGTCAAGCCCTTGTCCAAAATAAGAAAAATGGACACAGTTCTTGCACGTAGATCATGAGATAAGGTTCCAGAGCTTTCCAAAGTCTGCCAGGAAAGGGCTAGAGGGTAGCTGTGAATGTGCAAAATCAATCTAAAAGCATTTCCTCTCGTTGCTAGCATATGTGTAAGCAAGAAAATCAGCTTGAGCTGGCTATTCACTTCTGCCCAGTGGCCTAATGGATAAGGCATCAGCCCTTGTCCAAAATAAGAAAAAATAGATGCACACGGGTAGATCATGAGATAAGGTTTCGAGAGCTTTCCAAAGTCTGCCAGGAAAGGGGCGACGGTAGCTGTGAATGTGCAAAATCAATCTAAAAGCATTTCCTCTAGTAGCGTATATGTGTAAGCAAGAAAATCAGCTAGAGCTGGCTATTCACTTTTGCGCAGTGGCCTAATGGATAAGGCATCAGCCCTTGTCCAAAATAAGAAAAATGGACACAGGTCTTGCACATAGATCATGAGATAAGGTTCCAGAGCTTTCCAAAGTCTGCCAGGAAAGGGCTAGAGGGTAGCTGTGAATGTGCAAAATCAATCTAAAAGCATTTCCTCTAGTAGCTAGTATATGTGTAATCAAGAAAATCTGCTTATACATAGACACCAGTCAACACGACTAAGCTTCCCGTCATCGTGTGACGTCAAGGGTCAATGGTCAAGTCCTTGTCCAAAATAAGAAAAATGGACACAGTTCTTGCACGTGGATCATAAGATAAGGTTCCAGAGCTTTCCAAAGTCTGCCAGGAAAGGGCTAGAGGGTGGCGTGAATGTGCAAAATCAATCTAAAAGCATTTCCTCTCGTTGCTAGCATATGTGTAAGCAAGAAAATCAGCTAGAGCTGGCTATTCACTTTTGCCCAGTGGCCTAATGGATAAGGCATCAGCCCTTGTCCAAAATAAGAAAAATGGACACAGGTCTTGCACATAGATCATGAGATAAGGTTCCAGAGCTTTCCAAGGTCTGCCAGGAAAGGGCTAGACGGTAGCTGTGAATGTGCAAAATCAATCTAAAAGCATTTCCTCTCGTTGCTAGCATATGTATAAGCAAGAAAATCAGCTAGAGCTGGCTATTCACTTTTGCCCAGTGGCCTAATGGATAAGGCATCAGCCCTTGTCCAAAATAAGAAAAATGGACACAGGTCTTGCACGTAGATCATGAGATAAGGTTCCAGAGCTTTCCAAAGTCTGCCAGGAAAGGGCTAGACGGTAGCTGTGAATGTGCAAAATGAATCTAAAAGCATTTCCTCTCGTTGCTAGCATATGTGTAAGCAAGAAAATTCAGCTTGAGGCTGGCTATTCACTTTGCCCAGTGGCCTAATGGATAACGCATCAGCCCTTGTCCAAAATAAGAAAAAGGACACAGGTCTTGCATGTAGATCATGAGATAAGGTTCCAGAGCTTTCCAAAGTCTGCCAGGAAAGGGCTAGACGGTAGCGGTGTATGTGCAAAATCAATCCTAAAGCATTTCCTCTAGTAGCGAGTATATGTGTAAGCAGGAAAATCAGCTAGAGCTGGCTATTCACTTTGTGCCCCGCGGCTAATGGATAAGGCATCAGCCCTTGTCCAAAATAAGAAAAATGGACACATTCTTGCACATGTAGATCATGAGATAAGGTTCCAGCGCTTTCCAAAGTCTGCCAGGAAAGGGCTAGAGGGTAGCTGTGAATGTGCAAAATGAATCTAAAAGCATTTCCTCTCGTTGCTAGCATATGTATAAGCAAGAAAATCTGCTTATACATAGACACCAGTCAACACGACTAAGCTTCCCGTCATCGTGTGACGTCAAGGGTCAACGGTCAAGCCTTTGTCCAAAATAAGAAAAATGGACACAGTTCTGGCACGTAGATCATGAGATAAGGTTCCAGAGCTTTCCAAAGTCTGCCAGGAAA